ATTTTAATATTTATTCAAGAATTCCTTATTAAGTTTTTAAAATAAATATTTTAAAATACTTATTTAAAATAAATATTTTAAAAGACAACCTGTCTTTCCTTGCACCCAACATGGATGTTCTGACGTTACACCATCCTTTCTCCTGGAGGCCAATTTACAATCCTTACTAGCCTAAGAAGGTAAAGATAGTAACTGATATTTTGCATATATTTCTTAAATATCTTTTGCTTTTCTTATTGTCCATCTTGTCTCACAGTCGTATATTGTTTTGACTGTTTAATAAAATTACAGTTTAATTAGCTGGTAATTATGATCAAATTTTCAACAACAGAATTAAATAGTTGCCATTTTATAAAATCACCATCACTGATTATAATCCTAAATAATATCAAAAATGTTAAATCACAAAAATTATTTCCTCAGTATTTTCATTTCTTATAAGAAAGATGAATGCCAAAGAATGTGTATTAGGTTTTCTAGAATTTACAGCAGTAAGGGATAATATAATGGGCTTGCAGGCAACATTGACCAATTGTCAACCTGAAGCAGTGATTGCTTAATGGGGAGTAATGGTGAGTGAAACACATATGTGTGATAACCCTTCTCACTGATTGTTCACTTTAGACTAAAGCTTGATAAATGAAAGTGATTTGCTTAACGGTTGTATTGCTTTTCCTTGTACTTATATACAGTACAAAGTCTGAAATCCAGACGTCCATTATCCGGAATAATCTAAAATCTGTACCTCAAAGTACCTGCTTTTATTTATTTATTTTTAATATGCTTTATGCATGCGCATTTGATTTTTTCTTCTATAATAAAACGTGTGGAGATTTTCACTTAAAAATTCCAATTCTTAATTTCACTTACACACTAAATAAAATACCTCATTATAAAAAAATAATCACATAAGCATAAATTTATGAGATTAATAATTTGGCTCCATAGCTGAGTATCTGCTTGCCATACATCTCAAATACAAACATTCGCTTATTTTATATCCCTGACACCGACCTGGCGAGTCATTGTTTATTATATTTTGCTTTCATCACCGCTTGTTTATCAATACATGACAGCTTCAATAATAACTCATGCAGCGATGTCTAAATGTTTTTTATATTAGGAATTGAATAACAAGAGTATGGCAACCTTTTATGCTAACATTATGCTTGGCGATGTTTATAGATTTTGAATGATCAGTTCTCATAGGCAATGATGCCCCAAACCATGACAGCACATTGTTCTGCACTCTGGCACTCAACTGCTGTGGCAGGATTGGACCTATCACAACATTTTTGCCAGACTCCTACAAGATGACTGTAATTTCTTAAAGAAAGCTTGATTTGTTAGAAAACAATACATTATGCAACTCAAACAATCAACTTATCTTAGTTATAGAAATAATGATAATGAGGTATGTGCTTCCAAAAAAAAAAAAATGCAACCTAATGCCGCATTATGCAACCGTATGAAGTCCATACAGCTCTATTGGGACACAATCTCCAGCAGAGAATCCTGCTCTTAGCTCAATGGCAGCCTCTTAATGGACACCATGCCTGTAGGTCACTGGTTGCCAACTGCCAAATAATGATCCTGGTCATTATGGGAACATCAAGAGTGTTCTGGACCTGCCACAAAATGTCAATGGAAGTAGCCTCCGAGATTATCACTGCTTGCCTGCCGATGCATCAGTCCATGTGTGCTGATGTCACTGCCACTCCTGGAACATGCCACATTCCTTTCGTCCAGCCATTTTTGCCATAGCTGGTGTACTGTAGATGTGTGTAGTTGCTTGTTGACTATGATTAGGCCATTTGCTCTTCTCAGTCCGATCACCATATCCATGTTATACTTGTCTGTCTGCTGGAAGTACCTCTGTTGTAAGCATCCTGGCATTCTCTGCACTAACACTTGCTCTGAAATATAAAACAGTTTGCAAAATAGTTATTCTGCCTGATAGAGCAGTGCAACTATTGTCGATTCTTCAGATTTCCCCCTTATTTCTCGTTACATGATAATGCAATGCATTTTAACATCATTTGTATAACTCGGTGCACTGTGTCAAGCCTGCAGTTTGTATATTCTTTGGAACATGCATTCATGGTGTTGCATTTTCATTGTCATGTAGTGTATATTCTTAAAGTGATCATCATGATATTTCCACCACAAAAGGGGAGTGCTTGCTTTTAAGTAAGTTTATTGATTTTTTTCGAATAAATATCTTAAGTAAAGCGTAAAATATGTATGCATTTAATAATTGAGTTTTTGCAATCATAAGCCATCATTCTTTTTCTTCTGTAAGATGCTGATATGGTGCTCCAAAGTGGTTGTGCTAATTTTCCAAAATGCAGTCAATGAAAAGTTGCTTTTAATTGCTGATTCCACAGCCTACATTTTGTAACCTGGCTGGACACAGATATAAAATTTCTGAAGACATGTTAAAGAATAGAAATATGTATATGTTATCCAAAATAGTTGGAAAGTCTGGAGAGGTTTAAGTAAAAATGAATAGTGTATTGTTACTTGCATACGGGTTCGTAACAGAATGAATGCACAAGTCTGATAATAGGTTTATAAAAATTTATTTTTCTTAATAGAAATATTTCAGAATGTAATATTCCAGAAAAATATTCATACAAGTGATCACAGTATCGCACAGTATAATCAGCAGTTAAACTTCAAACTACTAAGAACCCACTTCAAACTAACAAGAACGTTAAATACAATGCAAAGAAGCACATCTAAAGATATAGCTAATCCGATCTCATGCAGAACTTGCAACAATAACAACAGCAGTTAACTAAACAGCTGAGCGCAGATGCTCTCTCTTCGGCTTTAAATAGTTTTCAAGTGGTTGCAAGATGTTTCTAGTAATTTCTGCTTTTCAAAATTACTGGAAAGTAATATGAGGGTGGAATTACGGTTACAGCTAACATAGCGGTAAATTTATTCAGTTTCAATACAAATTACCAAGGTACCCATTTACTCAATGCCCCTGTATTCTTACTTTTCTAGCATAGCTTTCTCTTAAAATTTCTCACGTACTACATTACACAGAAAAATACAACAATTTTAATTATAATTCTACTAAAATTACTTCTCTAAATACAAGATTCATAACAATATGTTTTCAAAATAAGGTTCTGTCTCATATGGTTAGAAAGTTCCATAGAATTTACCCAGGCAAAAGCTATATGTTGCATCAAGACTGTGCACTTCCCTGCTCTTTAAAATAGATGTAAAATATCTTAGTTATAGAAATAATGAGGTATGTGCTTCCTAAAAAAATGCACCTAATGCCACACTACCTGGAAAACCAAAAAAAGTCAGGGAATTCGAAAATTGACCAACAAAGTCAGGAAATTCAAATATTTTAGTCAAAATCTGGAAAAGTCAGGGAATTTCATACGGCGTTCCCTCCCAAATAAAGCACATTTTGTGCCGACGTTAGAAGCAATAACTTTTTTGGTGAATTATATATTGTGTGAGCGTGATTTGGGCAGCTGGCATAGAGACAATTTTCACAATTTGAATCAGATTGTCTTTTAGAAAGGCAAAGCAAGTTTGCAGGAACTTTGGTTTCCAGTAACTTCGAGGATCAAGAGACTCTCATGCGCATGTTCAGTGCATGTTGAACTAAAGAAAATACCTTCCCATTCTCGTGTAAAACAAAATCAGTTTCATCCTAGAATAGCTTCCATGTATTCTATTCTAACATCTATCAACGGTATATATGGGATTTGGTGACATTATTATGAGTCGTAGATGGGTTATTTTGGTGTTGGCAACAATTTTCAAATGGCCAAGGCTGTAGCGTATACTAAGATTTCACCGCAAAATCTTTAAAAAAAAAAATTTTTTTTTTCTTTTCATTAAATGCATTATTCTTCATTTTGCAGTAAAATGAAAAAATAGTAATTCATCATCTAGGCTAAGCATTTAATATTACTATATTCGCCAAACTATCGTTGATTCTTTTAATTCAATTTTGAAGTGATTAACTTTATTTTAATGTTATAGGTATCATTTAATGTTGCTTCTTCCCACCAAATTTATATATTTATTATTAAATAATGCTTTCAAATTTCAAGAAATTTTCTATGACATAGTACTGAAACTAACTCTAGCAGTATGATGACATACCATCTTGAAAATGAATGAACATATTTTTTGCTTATGCATGCTGCCAAATAATTATAAAATACCTTAATTTATTTTAAACTATCATTAAATAGATTTCTTTCATTTGTTTAGCTGCAAAATGTCTGAAAATTTTTTTTTACCCCATAGATTTTAATCTCAATCTTCAGTGGAGAAAACTACTGCTATTGTAGTTATAATAGTAATGCTTTGGGGATTATATATAATTGGCAAATTTTTGTGTTTTTAAGTGGTACCATAATTAATTTACGTCTTAGCACAGTGAATGTGCACTACGCGGATGGACTGGAATTTTCTTAAAACACACCTGGAAAAGTCAGGGAATATCATTCTTCTGTTTGAGTGGAAACCCTGCTAATGCTGCTTCTCACAATCTCAAAAATGTACTTAACAAGCGTAAATTTCAAATTCTATGAGATCTAAAAAATGCTATGAAGCATCTTTTTAGAGAAATATTAAAAAAAATTGTTGCATAACCAAAGTATTTATGTTAAATTTATAATTTTAATATGAATGTAAAATAAATTTATAATAGAGTAATATCACTTTAAATTTGGTTGTGTATAATGAATGAACTTGTATGTTTTATTTTTGTTTCAAAAGGCAACATTTCAAATGAATTTCTGACTAATCCATACAAGAAAGTACTTGCAGGCCAATTTAATTAATTTCGATTACTTCAATTAATTAATCCCCCCCCGAGTCATTATTTCTTTTTAAACTCCTAGCTTATTGCCTTCTTTGGCTCATTTTAGAAGTTTAGGTTTTCATAAAATAAATTATTTGCATATTTTATATATAATCGAGTCATCATTTAGGTATAATTTCTGTGTTTCCAGGACTGTATAGCTGTTATATGCTCTTTCACTCATGCTGATGTTACAGCCTGGGAAGCCTGTAATGGAAGCACTAGAAATATATTAGACTTTGTTATCAGTGAAACTGTTGATCTTGGCAGGTAAAGACATTTACGAAAATAATAGCTGATATTTTTTGAAACATTTTATGGATGTCATTTGAAAATCATTAAAAAATATTTCTTTGTAAACATTTTTAAATCAGTCTTGATTTTCATCAGCTTTAATCAAAATAGTGAAAATTAATAATAATAATTCTCTTTATTAATAAATAGTAAATAATCTGTATGTATGTATGTTTATTTGTTCCTTGCATTAGAAACATGTCAGCCCCAAACGAACTCGCATAGTCCTTCTTCCCAACATGAGCTTTCTGAAGCCCAAATTTTGAATTTGCTTTGTAATTATTTCAGATTTTGTGTGATTTTTAATGTTTTTGTTTAAATGAATAAATTCAGTGATTTAAAAGCAATGTGTTGTTACTGCTTGAAATAAAATATTTTTGTCTTCTGCTTGCAGTGTGTTGTCATTGGGCAAAGTTCAAAATATTTAGTTTTCAACATTAAGCAAGAAACTGGGCTGTAGCAGTTTATATTTATTATATTGCTATCTGAAAGCAGTATATTGCCACTGCTGAAAATAAAGTATTTTAATCTTCCTTTCACCAGTTTGTTGCCCTTTGGCAAAGCATGATATTTAACTCCATTATGTGTTATTGATTGACCTGCAATAATTTAAAAACAGTAGTAGTAATAATATATATATTAACAACAATTTAAAAATATAAGTAAAATTTAGGAATTTCAGTATAAAATTCTTAGTGCAAATGCAGCTGATATTGATTTAATTTAATTTTACAAAAATTAATGAGTATACTCTCAGGGAAGGTGTAATATGCTTGTGTAAAGGACTGGTGTAACTAGTAAAATATTTAGCAATAGAATAGAAATTTAAATAAACAAAATAAAATAATAAGAATTTTTCAAAAAATTATTATTATTTTTAAAATTAGGAATAAAAAAGAATTAAAAAATCTTTTCAAAATGTTTATGACAAACTGCATTATAATTATTCATAATTTAATGTTTGAAACAGACTCATCAGAGAGTAATTATCTCAAAAATTAAATCCGAATAATTAAGGAGCTTTGAAAATGCATTCATACAGTGTTGCCATTGCTTGCTTTGAAATCATTGAGTTTCTTAATCAAAAACTCATTAATGCTTTACAAAATATGAAATAGATAATAAAACAAATTCCGAATTTGGGCTTTCAAATGCCCATGTTTGGATGGAGACGTATGCTATTCAAAATTTGATGGCTGTAGGTACCGTTGATTTATCACAATGCAAGAAACATACATACATTTATGCAAACTCTTCATTGTTTAATTTCTTTGAATATAATACAGTGCTCTAATATTTGGTGGTAACCATTTAAAAAGTGATTCGTCGTTTATAGTGAATCGACACAAAATACCAAACTGAACTTAATAGTCCTTCTGGGCAAATTGCCCCCTTAAAACAAAACAACTTAAAAGGTAACTGTACATTAAATTAATGAAAGTTCTGAAGATTAAAAGAGAAACTCAAGATTAAAAATTAACTACTTAAATGTTATGTACAAATAATACAAAATATTTACTTCAGACATCCCTATAAGCTAAAATGAAATGGTGGCTTCATCAGCTAAGAGCATGACTGTTGAAAAAGAATTAAGTAACTCTTAAGCTTTCTTGCTGCTACCAAGGGATCATAGTATGGTAACTGGTTGCTACTGAAGACTGAAATTATTATACATTTGAGCAGAAGTAACATAAAGCTGAATTTAATGATATAAACTTAGTACTTCTGTTGTAAAAAAGTAGCCAAGGTTGCTAGCTAAGGGACATTGGCTTAAAATTAGAGGGGGGGAAATAGATTGCAATTGAACTTTGTAATAATGAACATGTGCGACTTATAGTTAAGAACTATAAGGGTTGCACTAAGAGACTAGAATTTCATGAGGAAGCTGTTAAACAAAAGTTCAAAATGCTACTAAAGTGGGAAAAAGAAAAAAAAAATTAAATATTGTAGCATAAAGTTAATCAAAATGGAAAAAGCCGGATAAAAGAAAATGTCTTTTCACAAAATCGACTGTTATTGCGTCTTTCATAAATGAAGGTATCCTTAATTATTAACAGTTGAGAAACCAGAAATACATACAGAAACTATACACATGATTAAAAGACATAAATACATTATTTACAAATCTCTAGTTACTCTATCCTGCTTTATTTTTCTAGAAAGTTTTGGAGTAATGCAATCATTATGCTATAAAATAGGGATTAAATTTAGCAGTGAATACCTGCTTTTTTTAAGAGAAAGGTTAATATAATTAATTAAAATTTTATTTTTTAGCTAAGCTGTTAACTGATAAAGTACATCTGCTTGTAAGTAACTTCTGTAGAAATATTTTTGATTATAAGTAGTTCATTGCGTATAGACTGACCTATGACTTTTTTAGAGATTTTTTTGAATTCCAGTTAATAAATTTAATTGTGTCAAAAAAATTTTTAATAAAAGTGTAATTTTATGTTGAGTAATATGCAGTTCCAGGAAGTTCATTTCTTTTTGAGGGTACTAGTCTCATTTAGTACTGTAGGGTAAATATTGCATTCCTCAATTGTTTCAAAACAATTAATTGCAATAATATCATCAATGCACCTAAAAGTATTACTAAAATAATTTTTATTATCTTGGTTAAGTGTATTTTCGAAGCAAAATACCTTTGAGAAAAAGATTGCAAATTTGAGATGAAAAATTGAAACTCATTGGTATCCCATTTTTATGTTGAAAAGTAGATTTTCTATACTGAATGTAGTTAACAAACAGTGTGCAATTAAAAAAATTTTCCATTTGTCTTCTGCAGTTACTGCCAAGCATGTCCACAAAAAGTACAGGAGAGTTAAAAAAAAAAAAAAAAAAAAAAAAAAAAAAAAGTTAATTTTTGTTAAAGGAAGGGAGATGTACAAATTCTCAAAATAGTAATAGAATATCTCTCTTACTTCAAGATTTTTAAGTGTAGAAAATACTGGACTATTATTAATAATCTAACTGTAATAGTGATTTATATTTGCTAATGCGAAAATAATTGTGCAGATTTTCTTTAGCTTGACAGCAAAAATGTACGCAGTTGCCTTTTTTTATAATTTTTACCATTTGCAATAAATGGAAATTTAACTGGAGATTTGTGGACCTTTGGTAATGCATATAAGTTAGAAGCACTGTTGCTGTCCGTAAAGACAGAAATCTTGAGCTTACCATGAAATGTTTTCAGCTTTTTGATAATAGAGCATATGCTGGTATTGGTATTTTTTAAGTAATTTAGGTTTGCTCAGTTCATTTTCATTAACCTTCTGAGCGGTGCAGGATTTTAGATCCGTCATGAAGACCAGTATTTAAACAGCATTTATTAATTGAGTTTGTATAATTACTTATTTTGGTCTGTATTTTCATAAATTTACATTCATTAAGATGATATTTACATTATTAAAGAAAGTAAGAAAGTGAAATATCTTAAATTATAAGCTAATATATGCCACGTAGCAATACTCAGGGTTTGTAGCGGTCCTTACAAGTGCTTATAAGTCCTTATATTTGAAAATAAAATATACGAGGGCTATCCAGGAAAGTAGATTACGTTTTGGAATAAAAAAATAAACAAAGTATAGGAAACAAATTTTATTATATACAGATGAAAGCCACACTCAAATACTACTTTTCTACATAGTCACCATACAAATTAAGGCATTTATCGTAGCGATGTACGAGCTTGGAAATTCCTTCGTCGAAAAATTCGGCCGCCTGCGCCTTCAACCACTTCGTTACCTCTTCTTGCAGCTGTGCGTCGTCATCAAAACGCTGCATAGCCAGCCACTTCTTCATTGCTGGAAATAGGTGGAAGTCGCTCGGTGCCAGGTCGGGACTGTACGGCGGATGAGGAAACAACTCCCACTTAAAAGATTCAAGAACTTTACGAGTGACATTTGCCGTGTGGGGCCGGGCGTTGTCGTGAATCAACAAGATCTTAGAGCTCAACATTCCTCTGCGCTTGTTTTGAATTGCTCTTCTGAGTTTTTGGAGAGTTTGGCAATACCTTTGAGAGTTTATTGTAGTGCCTCTTTCCAGGAAGTCCACCAAAATTACACCTTTTCTGTCCCAAAAAACAGTCGCCATCATCTTCCTTGCCGACATTGTTTGCATGCATTTCTTGGGTTTTTGGGGAGAACTTGTGTGCCCCCACTGCATTGATTGCAATTTCGTTTCACAGTTCACATGTTTCACCCATGTTTCGTCACCAGTAACGATGCGATCGAGTAAAGAGTCACCATCCTTATGGTAAGCGTCCAAAAAGTTCAACGCTGCAGCCATTCGCTGATTTTTGTGGTCCTCTGTCAAGATTTTTGGAATCCATCTTGCACAAAACTTGTGGTAACCAAGCTTTTCGCTGATGATTTCGTGCAACAAACTTCGCGAAATTTGTGGAAAACTCAAAGAAAGTTCCGTTATTGTGAAATTTCGATTTTCACGGACTTTAGCATCGACTTTTTCGAGAAGTTCGGCGGTCACTATGCTGGGTCTCCCACTTCGATCTTCGTCGTGAACATTGGTTCGGCCATTTTGAAATCTTATGACCCACTGACGCACTCCACCTTCAGTGATAATGTTGTCCCCATACACTTCACGAAGCTGCCGATAGATTTCTATCGGTTTACAGTTTTTTGCAGTCAGAAACCTTATTACTGAGCGCACCTCGCAGCTCGCGGGATTTTCAATTAACGCAGACATTTCAAACCGTCACAGTATCTGAACGGAGCACAGCACGAACCTCTCACTAGCACGGCTAGATGCAGACTGAGCTGCGCAACGCTCTGACCCCAAGATGGCCGCGCTAGCCCCGCTAGCCCCGCCCCTAGCGGACACAGACGGAAACGTAATCTACTTCCTGGATGGCCCTCGTAAAAGCCCTTATAGGTGCTTACTTTTTCTCTAAAGCACTCATATTTTTGTGCTTATTTTTTGCTTTTAGTGTCTTTTGTTTTAAAAATGAATGCACATTTTTCCCCCGTACCAAAGCCAAAACTAAGTAAACAACTTTTCTTCCTTATATGGAACGTCAGATGGTGAATCATAGCTTTTCACCCCTTTCTCTGCATAAAGATAATCTTTCATGCCTGCAAGTACAGACAGGTGCACGTCGTTCTATTGGTCAAAGAATTGGGAAAGCAGTAGAAAATTTCGGTACATTTCCTATTCTTTTGCTCCCACCCAATACTACACATGTTTGAATTTCTATCAAGATTTTAATAATTTACATTCTTGTTGTGCGTGGTCAGTTTATATTCGCGTTCATTATGATTTGTATACTTATATTATGAGCATATGTTTGAATATTTATAATAATATATTTGCAGTAACTGAAGTATAGATAAACTTCAAAAATGGGCAAGTATGTTTTAACACAGATTAGTTTTCTAAGGAATAATAGTAATTTTTTTTTTAAATAAAAAATTTTTTCCCGATGCATTATACAGTACGGAAGTTGGAGGTTCTCCTCTTTCTCTGCAAAATCTCGAATGTTGAAACCGTTACAGTTCGCAGCAAAGCAAGCAATGGACTTTTTTTTTTGGTCACTTTCCAAACTGGATTGAATAGAACTAAAAGTTCTGCGGTCTACCAACCCAAGTGAAGAATGATTCTATTCCGGAAATTTAACGCAATCTGTTCAAAATTAGAATGAAAAGCACCCCAGATTGGTAAATCTCTTTATTAATCAATATGAGTATAGCAGGGATATTCTGCGGAGTGCGACGTGTCCTGCTCAATGATAAATGTGCCACATGGGCGCATGACAGTGAAAAACCGGACAAAGAAAGGGGCGTTTTCCTTTATTTAGTTATTTATTCTCTGAATACTGGCAGCTGTTGATTCCAATTGCTTAATATCACGTGCAGAAGAATTAAGGCACACATATTGCGCAGTAATGCTTGCGATATTTCACTGAGATAAAAGAGTTTTACTGTGCTTGCTAAGTAGATTCTTTTTCAGTTCCACTGGGCTATTTTTTATATGATGCACACATCGAAATGTAAAAAGCATTATTTAGCCGAAAATCTAAAGAACGGCTGCAATTTACCCCCTTCCTCTTTTACCAATTACGCTGGACTATTCGGAATTTTCAGGTATTCGGCAATTTCCAAGTATGCCAGTTAGTTAAGCTTTTACTGTTAAAGGATAACTGCATGAAGCAATTTCTTGTCTTCTGATTTCAGAAAAGTTCCTTTTTTTTTTTTTTTTTTTTTTTTAACTTATTTTTACTTAAATTACTTTGCTTTCACTATCTGTTAAGGGAAAACTGTTATACAGTCAAAAGTCGTTAATCTAGACTCGTCGGGACTTCAGCGATTCCGGGTTATTGATTTTTCCGGATTATAGATCATCAGTTTAAATCAGGTAAGATGGCATGCAGAAATTATAAAATTAAAAATATGAAACCTTAATTTATGAAATAAAGAACAATTATGATCTAAAGGGTATCAAAATTTACAAAAAAAAAAAAAAGCTTAATATTTATTTGTTTACTTTATTAAACATTTCTTTCAATGTAAGTTGTTTAAGTTGCTTCATTTTTTATGTGATAATACATTCTCTTTAATTCTATAAACAGACATAATTTCTTGTTCAGTTACAAAGTTCCGCTGTTCAAGTCCTATAATTGCTGTGTCAAGAATACCAACTAATTTGTCAATCGAAATTTTTTCATTTTCAATAACCTCTGTCACTTTCTTCGCTATCGGAAGCAAATTATAATGATGAGGAATTTGATTTAAATAATATCAAAGACGGAGTACATCGAGATGAAATACTACATTTAGTAAGGAATTATAAGCGAAATAAAATAAAAACATCTGCCCTGAAGATAAGGATAGTAGTGCTGACAGATCAACTTCGAATTAATTGCGCGCAGCGGCGTTAAAGATAAACAAACGTTAAAAATTAGATAAACAAAAGATATGCCTTTATCCATTTTTTGCAGCAATTCCACTTTTTGTTTAATGGACTTTGAAACATACTTTCGCTTTGTAGATCCTTTACATATTAGTAAATAGATATCAGAAATTCTATTTGACATAATCGAAAGTTCAAGCTTACTTTTATAAAATTGCTCTAACAGTTTGCAAAAAATAATAAGCTGAATCCTATCCGAAGATTAAGGAACAGCGCAATCTGCAACATTAACTGAATTAGATAATTTTAGCTTAGCTTATACTGTCCGTTATACATTAAACGCACATTCGTAAACGTATTTTGCGCACGTGCACACGCATATTCGCAGACTTAAAGGTCTTACGTGCATGCGCCAACGCGACGCACGTGCAGAAAGTTTGTAGCTTTGAGGTCCGGATTATAGATCATTCTGGATTATGGGTGTCCGAATTAACAACTTTTGACTGTACAATGAAAATTTAGAAAATGTTCAGAATTTTGATTTAAGTTAAATTAGTTAAATATTAGTATGGAGTGGAAAAATAAATTGTATTTATTTATTTTTGGGTGCCAAGCGAATATAATAAATAAGACTTATTATTATTTATTTTCTTTATTTTGAACTGAATTTTCATCATTAAATCTTGTAATATAGTTTAGTCCTGCATAGTTTTTTTTTTTTTTTTTTTTTTTTTTGTAAACTAGTTCTGTAAATTGAACTGTTATTTAAAACTTGTTGTTTAAAAAAAATGTAATTATTTTCCATGTTTGAGTAATGCACATTCTTTCTTAATAAATACTGAATTTCTCATATTTTAAATCACAAGTCTAATTTTTCTTTTAAGGTTATGCAGTTGTGTATAATGTAATTAGACAGGTGCTTATTTTTTTTCAAGCACATTTAATGTAATTAGACAGGTGCTTATTTTTTTTCAAGCACATTTCACTTTTCAAGCACATTTTAATGTGCTTGAAAAATGCTTATAGGTGCTTATTTTTTAAACTAAAATGTGGTTACAAACCCTGATTGCTTCTGATGACCAAATGAGAAAGAATGAGAAACCTTTCATGATTACAAGCAGCTGTGTAAGGGCCACCGTTTGATCAACAGTATGTTAGATCAACAACTCTAGTGCGTTACTTTAGATCAACACTGATAATACAGGAAAATTATTGCCTAGGCAACAGAAATTTCAGTTATAGTTGCCCTGCAGAATATTTTGCAATGCCTAAAACATATAAGTAGTTTTAAAACTGGATTTGTTGCTAGTTAAGGCAATTTACTTCTTTTCTAGTTAATGCAAACTAAACCTAAATATTTTTTGTAGCTTTCAAACTTCTGAAAGTAAAATTGGCATTTTGACTGGTTCTGTTTCTGACTGCATTGGATCAAGACATCACATATTTGAAATAAGGAAGCTTCTTTCATTTGAATTGATTCACAGCATTCATTTATCAGAATTTGTGCAACTTGTAGAATGTAAACCGAATCAGGTATATTTTAAACAATCTGAATTTGTTTAGTTTTTGAACAAATTTTATTTTACATACAAATACTTACAGTCTATAATTTTAGGATTTCTGGTATTTTATTGAAGCTGAAGCACTTACAGATGATTCACAGTGAGTAATTTCATGCTAATACTTGCTATTTCATATCATTTTATACATATCTATTTACTAATACTGTGTGATTAATCCATGCTAGTCTCCAGAATTACCTGTTATCCAAACTATTAAATGAATAGTAATGATATATAAATTACTCATGATGATCTAGAAATAATACAAAAGTAGAAAGTCAGTATTTTGAAAACTATAGACAGTAGCATGATATGGTTTTCACAAAAGGGCACAAAGAGACACAAGTTTTTTTCTTTTAATCTTTTTTTAAAAATTTAATGCCAGAATTGCTACATATTTTACTTTTTAAAGTCTTAGGTGTACAGAGGCCATCTGATGTTGACTGTATAGAAAGAAATTATTCACTGTCATCTGACAGCTAAGTTCTCTTAGGTGGTGTGCAGAGAGTCATGCCATGTTTGACATTGATTCTTGTGAATGAACTGAAGCAAAACCTTTTCATTAAAAAAAGATGTTACTATTCTGATAATTCCATGTCATTCTATGCATTGACATGAAAACCATAACATGCAATTGTGTATACTTCTTGAATTATTCAGTTTTTACTTTATTACTTTTGGATCACATTGTGCATATTAATTATATTATGCACTACTGAAACCTATGTGATGAAAAAGAAAATTAAACTAAACATACCTAATAGGTTAAAAATATGCGGAATGTAAAGGAAATGTGTGATAAATGTAAAAATTTGCATGCTGAAAAATTTTTACGTACACGAAGAAAAATGTGTAAACATTTGCTTCACTAGCCAGCCTCAATATTTGCTAGAGTTATATGTATGATGATGTTTGTAGGGTTTTATGCTATTAAAATGCTGATCATTTATTATGCTATCAGCATACTTTTAAGTCTAGCATACTCTTACAGACCAAATAGTAAAGAAAATTTTTATTCTCCCATATTTTTCATAACAAGACAGTTCTTTTATGGGCTGCAGGTTTCAAATATATTTTATTTCCTTTTAATTAATTTTTTTGTTGTTTCACAATGACCTGTGGCACAACTTTTGAATCTTTTAATGGCATTTTTGCTACTTGGAGATGTTATACTAAAATCCTTTTTCTAATAATAATAATATATATATATATATATATATATAATATACACAGTACTCAACATTGAAAATGCAACACCAAGGGGAAGTGGCCCGAAAATGATGCAAATTTCACGGTAGATCCACTTAATCGAGTTATGCGAATGATGTGAAATGCATAGATCTCTAGTGCACGATGAAGAAGATATAAGGTAAGGCACCTGCAGAATGTTAAATTATCATGCCATTATTTCTGCTAGGGAAATCATCATAGAAATTTTGTTCTTGTCTCAGAGAAAGTATGTAATAGCAGAGAATGCCAGGCCGTAGTCTACGGAGGCAGTTCAAGCAGACAGCTTATTTTACGAGGGGCATGATGATCGGACTGAGATAGCCAGGTTGGTCCAAATGGCAAATCTCAGCTGACATACACCAGGATGCATCCACAGTGCATCGGCTGTGCATTGATGGTTGCAACATGGAAATGTGGCAAGGTCTAGGGGTGCTGGTGCAGCCAGAGTTACATCAGCATGGATCGACGCATCGGCCAATAAGCGGTTGTGTGACTGCAAGCCACTTCTACTTCTGTTCTGCAGCATGTTCAAGACACCATAAATGTTCTCATATTCACCAGAACCATTTGCCATCGATTGGGGTCTAGTGGCTTGCACTCGTAGTGTCCATTAAGAAGACTGCCATTGCCCTGACATCATAAACGACAACATCTGCAATGGTGCCAGGCTCGAGCGAGGTGGACAACAAAATCGCACAGAATCATGTTCTCAGATGAGTCATACTTCTGTTTCGCCAATGATAGTTGCCGCTTACAAGTGTGGTGTCGATGTGGAGACAGGTCTTATCTGGCAGCAATTGTGAAAGCCCCACCATGTGACGAACGCTTCATCATGGTTTGGGGTGTAATTGCGTACGATTACAGGTCACCTCTAGTTCGTATTCAGGGCACTATGATGGCCCAACGATATGTGGATGATGTGCTGCGACCGATGACAATGCCTTTTTCAGGAGATAACATCCGGCCACACAGTGCTCACATAAGCTAACATGCTCTGCAAGGTGTACAGATGCTTCCCTGGCTACAATTCTCTCCTGATGTCTCACCTATCGAACACATTTGGGATGTGATTGGACACCATTTGCAGACCCTGCCATTGCTGCGTCCAGAAGACGAACCATGACAAATGGTTGACAGATAATGGAGAGCCATTCCTCAGGACACCATCCATAGTCTTATCGAATCTGTACCTAGAGTCATGTTGATTGTGTATCATTGTCCCAGGTGGTTCTACAACCTACTGAGCCGATACTCTTCTCCCTTTGTATTATGCATGCGATTTCGATATAAATATCACTTATTCTTCATTGCGGTCTCTCTGTTTGCCGAGTTTCATCACTTTCTGGCCACCCCTTCTTGATGTTGCATTTTCATTGTCGGGGAGTGTATGCATATATATATATACACTCCCCATTTTTATGTTTTTAAAGCAATAGAGATCTAGAGTACTGACTAAATTTTTTTTCTTTTAGTAAGTCATGATTTTAATTAAATTTCTGTTTCTTGGAGATAGTATATAAAATGTTTTCTAATTATAAATTATATATGTATTCTAATAGATTATTTAATGTGTTATCTCCTTTGAAAAAGTAGCCAGAATTCTATTGAAAAGAAGTAATTTATTAGTATATTTAAAATGGAATCTTGAACATATTTAAAATGATAACTTTGAAAAGGTATAATTAAAAGTGAAAATGCAACTAACAAACTAAGCAGTTATCGTCATTGATCGAGAATTAGTTGACTTTTCAAGAGGAAGTTGAAAAGACAACCCATTTCTGGCCACTGACCTCTTGAAAAGTCAACTAATTTCTGGTCAGTGACGATAATTGCTTAGAATAATTGGTTGCATTTTTCACTTTTAATTATACCTTTTTAAAGTTTCAATTTTAAATATGTTCAAGATTCCATTTTAAATATGCTAATGAGTTACTTCATTTCTATGGAATTCTAACTACTTTTTTCCAGAGGAGATAATATAGTAAATAATCGATTAGAAAATAAATTATTATTTATTACTTTGCAGCTTTAGCACAAGTATTAGGCAATTTTTAGGATTGATTAACTTTTTTACTTAAATCTTATATATATATATATATATATATGTATAAAGGAAAACTTAAACCTTTATCTTTTGTTGGTCAGCTCCAAATTCAAATTATATATGTACAGTCAAAAGTCGTTAATCCGGACTCGTCGGGACTTCCGGATTATCGATTTTTCCCGATTATAGATCACCAGTTTAAATCTTGTAAGATGGCATGCAGAAATTCTAAAATTAAAAATATGAAACCGTAATTTATGAAATAAAGAACAATTATGATCTAAAGGGTATCAAAATTTACAAAAAAAAAAAAAAAAAAAAAAAAAAAAAAAAAAAGCTTAAATATTTATTTGTTTACTTTATTAAACATTTCTTTCAATGTAAGTTGTTTAAGTTGCTTCGTTTTATGTGATAATACTTTCTCTTTAATTCCATAAACAGACATAATTTCTTGTTCAGTTACAAAGTTCCGCTGTTCAAGTCCTATAATTGCTGTGCCGAGAATACCGACTAACTTGTCAATCGAAATTTTTTCGTTTTCACTAATTTCTCTGTTACCTTCTTCATGTCTTTATCCATTTTTTGCAGCAATTCCACTTTTTGTTTGATGTGCATCGAAACATAGTTTCGTTTTGTAGATCCTTTTGGGAGCTCCAGCATCGGAAATTCTATTTGACATAATCGAAAGTTCAAGTTTACTTTTATAAAATTGCTCGTACAGTCTGAAAAAAGTAATAAGTTGGATCCAGTTCGAAGATTAAGGAACAACGCAATCATCAACATTATAGAACAACATGAAATAGATAATTAGATAATTTTAGCTTATACCGTCCGTTATACATTAAACGTGCACACGAAAACGTATTCTGCACTTGCGCACACGCATATGCGCAGTGGTAAAAGTCTTACGCGCATGCGTAGACGCCTATGCGCATGTGTCAACGCGGCGCATGCGCAGAAAGTTTTCAGCTTTGAGGTTCGGATTATAGATCATTCCGGTTTATGGGTGTCCGAATTAACAACTTTTCACTGTATATATATATATATATGCATATATAGATGGGTATGCAAATAAAGTTGTACAGTAGTTACCTTAAAGGAATTTGCTGTTTTGAAAGCTAAGAGTTTCAAAATAGGCATATTGAAATTAAGTATTAAAATATACTTGGGAATAGAATAGTTATTTCTTATTTTGGATGTGTGATGGAAGCTTTTGTTGTGACTTCTGTATAGTATATAGCTCTTGGGCAAATTAAAATTGGGTACTCCTTGTATGAGTGGTGAGAAATTGAATTCAGTCTTAGAAATATTTCATTATCATAGCACTAATTAGAAGGGAAACCCTGAATGTTTGTTATAGCACCAATTAAATATAAGGCATGAATGCTTGACTTTGTTATGTGGCATCTATGATAAGCATTTGCATTACTTTAATTGCAGGGCATTACATGGCTTAATTTCAAGAGAGAAAGCAAACACATCAAAATAAAATGGAAAATTAGGAAAAGCAACAACCTTGTGTTTTGTGTAGATTTTAGTCAAGATTCTATCGATTTTGAGGGCGAAAATGTACGGGTCTCCATTTATCAGGAACAAAGAAATCTGCAATGAAGGGAAAGTCATGGTTGTATTTATACCAAAAAGGAGTAAAGTGAATTAGAGAGTAGCACCTGTTTGTAGAAATAGTAAGGAAAACTGAAAAAATTAAGTTAATAGAATTTTAAAAGTATTAGGTGGGACTGAATTCAAATTAAAGTCTTAATTAGCACGTTGAATGCCATGTTCATTTTACATGGTTCACCCATGGCGCCAACATGAATTTTTTA